GAGTAAGAAACAAAGTTCCAGTACCTCAACACAAGCTCAAGGTCATCAGTTCTTGGTATGCTTAATATGATATCATCATTGGCAAAGTAAGTGAGGCCTCAGCTTAACGATATGTTGGTACAATTTCCATATACTCAATCATAGGTGGCTGCTAAGGCAAAAAAAACAGATAGAAGAAAACTAAGATCATGTCCCATGGTTTGCTGACAGTCATGAGAATCATACATAATGCACAAAAAACAAATTGCATCCACCTCAGAGTTTATTTTTCATGTTGCATCATTGGCCAAATAGATATAAAGAGTTTGAACATCACAGTCATATCAAGAGATTGAACATCAGTGTCATAAATTCTAGATGCTTCAGCACAAAGAACCCTCACTAGAATCAGAGCTATGGACTTAAGCAAGACGCGGCTGCCACACCATAGGGTGCTCCTCCAGCGCCTAGGGTTAAGTAAACATCATCGACCAAGGCACTTTTCTTAGTTTGTAAATCGGACTAGGCATCATCATGTGCAAAATCTAGGCGACAACACATGTGTACAATAAATAAGAGGTGCACATCACACAGATCTGAGGGCGGAACAAGACGAAAGCAAATGTAAACATGTAGATCAACAAAAATATCGCCTAGATCTAAGTATCTAAGAACATGAACCCTAATATCAGTGGACGACAAACAAAATCCACAAACGATTCAACATAAATCACCGCACAGAGAGGGGCAGGAGATGGGGGCAGGTGAGATATACTGTCGGAGCACTAGAGGACCAACACGAATCCGCCGGTGGAGGTTGACCGTATAGGTCAAGCGAGCTCGATGGGGAGGAAGAGGAAAGAGCGCACCAAACCAGAGGAGGAAGGAGAGGCGCGAAATGGGGGCGGTAACCCTAGCCCGGGCCTGAGGACGACAAGATCTCCCGCGCAAGATCTGGGGGCGGCGGTTGGCGCCGCGACATTGGAAGAGAGGAGGGGGAGGCAGATCTGGGGGCGGCGGGTGGTGAAGCTCCTTGGTGCGGCAGGAGGCAGATCTGGGGGCGGAGGCGCTGCCATCCGTCCTTGCACGGGCAGCCACCGCCGTCTTCCGAGGGAAGGGAGGGGAGGAGTTGTAGTGGAGGAGGGGGTGGTGACCTCACCGGTGGAGGAGGGGGTGGCCGCCGCGACGGTGGAAGAGAGGAGGGGGATGACCGCCGTGACGGTGGAAGAGAGGAGGGGGTGGCCGCTGCGAGACCTAGGAGCGACGGGAGTGCGAGCGGGTGCGGGCGGCGCGTTTGGGATAAGGATGGGCGGCCGTGTCTGGAGATAGGTTTAGGTTTTTTTTCATGTATATAGTTTTTCTGTGCGTGTACGTAGTTTTTCTGTGAGTTTTGAAAAGACCGACAGAATAATGTCAATTTTTCTGTGTGTATTGGCACGCACAGAAAAATAAAGCAATTTTTCTGTGGGTTTTCGAATATTTATGTCGGGATTTTTGAAACGCACAGAAAAATTATGAATTTTTCTGTGTGTATAGAAAAACACACATAGAAAAATGTAACACCCACAGAAGTATTCAAATTTCCAGTAGTGTAAAGGCATTACCATCATGCTGTTACTTCCTATGCCATCACTATGAATTAGGTACCATGCACAAAGTCGGCCAAGCTGGGCTTGTAATCAGTAGCGGATATATAGTAAATGTCGTTGAATGCGGGTACACTCCATGGGTTGTAGAGGTGGGTGGCAAGTGGTGACAGCTATATCCGTCTTTTGTAATCCTCCATATTCGGGTATGACGTAGGGCATGTTAAAGACGTCACCTCATTCTAGCTACCACGCTAGAGTGTCGGTGATACATCGGTAGAGCCTGTGCGGACGTGTGGAACTAAATTTGGACCATGTATCCTGCATATGTGTATGTTTGTAGACCATAGAACCTAAGCAGAGATGTATCATAGGAGGTCTAGCTTTATTTTGTCCATCTCAACCTAGCTTAGTCATATTCTTTGTAGAAGTAGAAGCTCTGTGTGTGTATCACACTACCTTCAATCTATCATTTACCCCTGTTTAGATTCTGATGTTTACTTATGATATGATAATGAGTATGTTGATTATCAATTCTCTTTGTTGCCATATTCCCTGAGTGAAATGCTCCTGAGTGAAATGCTATGATGGTATCTGTGTCATTATTTAATGATGACCTTACAATACTACATAAACATCAATGTCGCTTTCTTCCGAACACCTCATTACCACTAGATTTGGGCCTCGATGGTGAAAGTGGGCAGTGACAATAATCTTTGTCACCATCGATTTCAAACTAAAGGTGAAATAATGATCACCATTGGCTTGTTATATAAACCGGTCATCACAATAAGAAAATACAAAAAAATCCAACAGCCAGCAGCAACACCGGTGCCCATGCCATTGTTGTCTCCTCGCCCAACTTGCTGTCTACTCGCGCCACACCCCACCGCCGTGACCATGCTAGATCTCAAAGAGGGCGAGGGAGATCCAATGGTATCTAAGAGGAAGAGATAGTGAGGGAGATGAAGGCACCTAGTGCTCGGACTCAGGGGACAGTCGGTGGTGCTCTCAGTGTAGTCAGTTGCTCCTCCCGCGTGGGCACCCGGGCTGCATTGCTGGCTGTCCCTCGCCCACGTCGTGGTACCGAGCACTACAGGATACAGTAGTTTTGCCGAGTGCCAGGGGCACTCGGCAAAGGCCCAAAAACACTCGGCAACTGCTTTGCCGAGTGTAACACTCGGCATACAACACACGGCATCTCTGTGTCGGCAAACAACTATTTGCCGAGTTTTTTTTATCGCGCACTCGGCAAATGGTTTGCCGAGTGTCAAATTTAACACTCGGTAAAAAAAAATTAGTTTGCCGAGTGTTTTTCAAAATACACTCGGCAAACCTATTTTCCAAAAAAAATTATCCGGACAGCAAGGAAATCAACCCATGTGGATGCAAACCAATAATCATTCAGCAGTTTGAAGCACACCAGGCCACACCAGGCCCGAAGTGCGTCGTGGACCGGGCCGCCGCCCCCGACGCCGGTGAAAGCTGGAGAGCACCACCTCCGACCCGCTTCGGCTCAAACGCACGGAGCTGGTGCTGCTCGCCGCCGGGGCTCCATCGAGGCTGCCGTGCTCGCCCGCGAGATCGCTGCACGAAGGCACAGAGCACGGCACCACCACTTCATCAAATACCTGAAAGGCACAAACACGTTCAAAACACTCACACCAGAGGCTCGGAGAGTCGAAAAGCACTCCCTCACCTGGCCCAAACGTCTACGATGGCTATCAACCGGGCCCCGACATCGACGATGGCTACCGTCGCCTCCTTGGCCGTCGACCCGCACCATCTCCTTGGCCCGCACTGCCTCGCTGGCACTGCCTCGCTGGCCTGCCGCCTCTTCGTCAGCTGATGCGTGGGCGAGATCCGGCGCTGCTGTGTGCTGGGGCCGCCCTAGGCTCGCTGGTGCGGGGCGAACTCGCAGCTGCGCCGCTGCGACGAGACGTCGCGTCGGCACTGGTGCGGTGCCGCGTCGCGCCGCCGTGGCACAGCCGGTGGAGGTGGCTGCTCCCGTCGCGGCGGCGATGCAGGCACGCGAGGAGGAGTCGGCGAGGCAATGGAGGTTGGATGGGTATTTTTTTTCTTTTTTTTTGGCCTGGCGTCGATGGCGGGTTGGGGAAAGGATAAGTCTGAGGGGAGCAAGCAAGCAGGAGGGGCGGGCCGGTTTATTAAGTGGATTTTCGTCCTTTGCCGAGTGTCCTAGATCTGGGCACTCGGCAAAGTGAATTTTTTTATTTTTTTTCTTTTTCTTAAAAAAAAGATTTTTATTTCTTTGCCGAGTGTTCTAGATCTGGACACTCGGCAAAGTTTTTTATTTTTGTTTTTTTTTTCTAAAAAAATATATTTTATTTCTTTGCCGAGTGTCTTAGATCTGGGCACTCGGCGAAATTTTTTTTTAAATTTTTTTTCTTCTCCTTTGTTCACAGAAAAAAAAGATTTTTTTCCTTTGCCGAGTGTTCTAGATCTGGGCACTCGACAAAGGTTTTTTTTCATTTTTTTCTGCTCCTTCTTTCCTAGAAAAAAAGATTTTATTTCTTTGCCGAGTGTCAATAAAAAAACACTCGGCAAACCCCCTCTTTGCTGAGTGTTTTTTTTGACACTCGGCAAACCTCCTCTTTACCGAGTGTTTTTTTTGCCGAGTGTTTTTAGGGAAGCACTCAGGCAAATCACTTGTTTGCCGAGTGCCCGATAAAATACAATCGGCAAACATAAAAACACTCGACAAATTTGACGTTTCCGGTAGTGGAACCACCATGTCAGGCCTCCCACACTGATGCACCACCGCACCAATGTGCCTCTGCGCTAGGAGATAGGGATGGATAAAGAATAGAGAGGAGGCGGTGGGGCAGAGTATCCATATGCTGCGCGCCGGCCAATTCACAGTGCGATAGGTGGCCGCACGGGTCCCGCCTGTCAGCCACACATAGAAAACACACGCGGTGGGAGAGGTGGAAGATAGTGATGACCACACAAACTGCTGTGGCCAGGTTTTCCCCATCAGCTCTATCCCCCACCTAGCAGTCAAAATCAATTTCACCATCAGTCGTAGAGAAAAACCAGTGGTGATATAATATCACCTTTGGTTTTATAAAACCAGCAGTAAAAATGCCGTTGACAAAAACTATTTATGTAGTAGAAATATGAGAAGAATGGTGAACGAGTGCATGTTGATGAAGGTGATTAACGGGGTAATAATAAAGGAAAAATATGATAAAACATCAACAAATTCACTTGACATGCTGACATGTTTGAAAGAATGTGGGAAAACTATAAATCACAACAAATGAAGTTACCGTCAAATAATGTAGCAAACAAATATGAGTCTCACATCTAAACATCAGACATAAAACTCTCATCCCACAACAGTATCTGCTGGGATCCAGGAAAATACAGCAAAAGAAAATATGCCCCAAGCTCAACAGTCAACACCGAAATATGCTAACGGCAATACATCAAGAGTCCCATCACTAAGGTGACAAAAATACGATATTTCCCATAACTCATGAACATAGCAATGACTCCCAGTGGTATAAGCATCAAGCTTGTGCACCGCCACTGTCGATTGAAATCGTTTCTCTGACGGCTTCCTTGAATCTGTCATTTGTCATGCGGAAATTTTGAAAAATGCTAAGGAGGATAACAGAAAAAAGGAAAACAATTGACATCATTGGGCAGCATCTTTCTTTGAGGAAAACTTACGTGCATCTCCAAGTCTATCCTTTCTTGAGCCTCTTGTTCAGTCTCTGCAGTTAGTTGCTCTTCCTGCCCCTCTTCGATGTGCCAAATTTTGAGCCACTCGTTGAATATCCCATACTCCATATTATACCTCTTCAAACGCTAGAAGATGTAACACAAATAGGAGTGTCACAAGTAAGGATTTATTGCAAATCAGAGAAAAGAAATATGCACTTATTGCAGTTGAGAGTGTGATGAAAATCATCAATCCGTGTAATTCTGGGAGATAACTTACAAATTTGAAATGTGCACAGCCATTATCCGACCTTGTTTCAATTCTGACAGTAGGATGGTTGGGAAGTGTCTGAACGGCAGTATTAATGGAACTTGAAACGCATTTTACATCTTCAGAAATACCGTCATTTTCTCCAACACCAGAAATTTCATCGTCACAGATGCATCTAATTTCGACCTCGAGCTTGCTAAGTTCAGACAGGTGCTGGATGCCAAAATTAGAAGTACCATTCAAGCACTTCATCTTATGCACAGGGAGCCGAAGCTTGAGATGTTCAAGCATTGGCATTGATCCTGCTTCAAACTTAAGGGCAGTCCCACAAGCATCAATTGTCAGTGAAAAATATTTGAGATTTCTAAATCCATTGATGTCATTGAAGATGATCATTCCGTTGGTGGCTCCAGCGGTGCCTAGTTCTAGAAAGAGCAAACTGCGTATTGCTCCAAGAATTTTGACATCATCTGGTATCATACAGATGATATACAGTTCTAGCACACCCAGATTTCCAAGACAGGGGATCCAATCTGGCACCTTATAGATGGGACATTCTTTCAGGTGGAGCTTACGGAGGCTACAAGGAGAAGCAGGGCGCCATGAATCGAGTGACAGTGGGTAATGCTCATCAGAAGTGTCCACAATATGCAGATTGTGAAGGTTGCAACAAGATAGTAAATTTCCCACATTATTGTGAAAGTTCTCAGCTTTAGTTCTTTCTTCTGAGCTATCTGGCCAATTAAAATTCCAGCTAATATCTAAGGTTCTCAGCTTGGTCAACTTATTGAACTCTTTCACGGTCTTTCCTTGTTCGTAAGATACAAGTCCATACTTGCATAGCTCTTCCATGCTCTGCATCTGTCCAATCATACCATTCGGAAATCTAGTTCCTGAATCAACATACAGATGGGCCAATCGTTTAAGCTTTGTGATTGATGATGGCAACTCTTTAATCTGAGTATCTTGTACATCCAATGTTTCTAGATATTGCATTTCTCCAATTTTGTCTGGGAGATAAGTTATTGAATGTGAACCAAGACGTAAGTACTTCAGATGGAACAGCTTTTTAATACTTGAAAGATGATGGTTTTCCAGAGCACTGCAATTGCCTAGGTCCAACACACGAAGAACAGTGAAAGCAGAGAAAGAAGTTTGCACAGGATGTCCAAATATTGTAAGTGATCGGACGTGAGACAAAACTAGGCCTGTCATTCTGGTTGCTTTTTCTTCGTCATTGTTAATGACACAGAGCCTACGAACCTTGTATTCTGAAGGGTATCCATGATCAGTAGCATCTAATGAGGTTAAAAAATTATCTTCAGCAGCCTTGCATTTGATGTAGTCAAGAATAATGTCATGAACTCTACATGCCTTGGCCTGACCATAAATTACACCAACAGGTTGGATCATGCTTCTATTAATGAGATCATTAAAATAACGTTCACCAGTTTCATATGCACTTCGACCTTTTTCATCACAAACGAATCCTTCAGCAATCCATTTATTTATCAAGCATTGTCTCTCAATTGTCTGATCTTCTGGGAATATGCTGAGGTACAATAAACATGTTTTCAGATTGTGGGGAAGGTCAAAATAACTGAGTGCTAATATATTTGTCATTCTCTCTGCATCCGGGTCTCTTGCAAGTCCAGAACCTATTGCATTTAGCACCCTCTCCCATTCAGCTTTTGCATGCTGATCGGCTAACATGCTAGATATAGTAATAATTGCCAATGGAAGACCACCACATTTTCCTAATATCTCATGCGGAACATATCCTAGATGAGGATAGTATGAGTTCTCAGAACCAAATGCTCTTCTGAAAAATAACCTTTTTGAATCATTGGAACTAAGAGGCTCCATATAATAAACTGAACCACCATGAGCAGAACAGAATGATGCAACCATAACACTACGTGTTGTAGTGATTATTCTGCTCCCACAATCATTATCCAATAATGCAAGCTCAATAGTCTGCCATGCTCTTTTATCCCATATATCATCAATTACAACTATCTGCCAGAGTTTAACAAATATGCAGTTAGATAGTGCTGAAAGCATCAACATTGGAACTGTATTTGTAGTAAACATAAATTATACTTCTTTTAAGGCCATTCCCAATGTGAGTTTAGCGTGTTTGCCTAGGTGGAAGGTTGACCTGTTAACTAAAAAAAGGGCAACGCATGCTAGTAAAGCATGTTCTTAAATCTATGATGGTCTATTTTGCTATGGCTATTGATCTTCTTCCCTGGGCCATCAAGGCTATTGACAAATTAAGAAGGGTTTTTTTGTGGAGAAGGAAAGAGGAGAAAGGTGACCACAGTCTAATGGCATGGACCAAAGTGTGTCCCCCCAAAGAGCTTGGTGGTCTCTTGGAATTTCTAATCTCCAAAACTTTGACTGGGATCTTCAGTTGAGATGGCTGTAAGAAAACACAACCTACATGCCTATGGACTAATTTTCATGTGCTGGTCCATGATTGTGTCCAAGCCTTATTCTCTTTTGCTGTGGTTTTAGAGATTAGTAATGCTATTGCAACATTGTTTTGGACAGATAGGTGGATAAATGGACAAAGCATATCTGATCTTACCTCTTAAGTCATGGCCTTAGTTCCCAAAATGAAAAAGAAACAAGAGAGCAGTTCACTACTACAGATAGTTTAATCACCGCCGCAACATTCACCGCCGGTTATGTGACAATCGGCGGTGATACATATCACCGCCGGTTCATAGTCTGAGGGGTCCCAGAAGGGTGACTTACCGGCAGTGATAAACGTTTTCATCGCCAGCCCGGCGTATGGTCCAGCGGTGAAAACAGTGTCGGTCTTCGCTGCCATAGCGCCAAACCGGTGATGTAAACATTTAGCACCGCCGGTTAGTCATCCAATGTGCGACACACATACAAACTGGTGGAGATAAGAAGTTTTGCCGCCGGTTTTAAGATGGAAGGACGCTCCGCTCGTAGAGCCGGCGGTGGAATTCTCTACCACCGTTGGTTCGCTTTATGATCCGGTGGTGGAAAGTGCAACAGTTCGGACCACCGCATCGTTCGCCGAGCCAGTGGTGATCAGAAGTTTCACCGTCGGTTTGTTCTTACGGCGAATTTGTTTGCAAAATTGATTTATTTCTCTGGTGCGCACAGTATGTTACGGTGGTATTACAACTCCCATTGCCATTTCATCCGGTGATTGTTGATGCTCGTTTACTTCTGTGCATCACTATAAAGTACGGTGACAGGCATGTCTTCCTTGGCGTATAGTACGGTGTTCTTTTTTTGTCATTTGGAATCTGTGCCGTCCATTACTATGTATTGAATTCGGACCGTTCGTCTGGACTCAACCCTAAGGCCGTCCGACTAGTCTAAACATCAAGGCCATCCGCCGTTGACTGTCTAAAAAAACTCTGCCGCCTCCTCCCGCACACCCGGTGCATTATTCCTCTCTAGGGGCTTAGATTCATGGCATTGTTGCCCTACATGCTAAAGTAAGTTGCAATTTGTGTCAACCATTGCCGGCCTCTCACCGCGCCGCCACCAGATCTAAGGCGAGTGTAATGCTTTCGCGCTTCAGCGATCGATATTTGTTGGATTATTTTCCTCTTTAGTCATCTTACTAAGCAAGCTCTCATCCTACTGGACACTGACGATCGCATCGCCGCAGGGTCATCGAGATGGAGAAGGCCCCCAACAAGAGGAACATAGTGTCCAGTCTCACAGACCATGTCCTTGTCGAGATGCTCCGCCGCCTCCCCGTCCGCTCCTTGTGCTATTGTAAGTGTGTCTATTGCTCCTAGAACCGCCTCATCTCGGAGTCTGACTACCGTAAGAAGGTGCAGACTGTCACCGGCTTCTTCTATGGCAGCTGGAACGACAAGCGACACTTCACCAGCGTCCTCGGTGAACGCCCCTCCTTGTCCTTCTTGCCCTTCCCCATTAACAAAGTAGTTGTCTCAGATTACCAGTGGCCTCATCCTATGCTGGTGCATTGCGCCTGATGAATTTTACTGTATTATCTGCAATCGGCAACCCATAAGTGGCTAATATTGCCGCATAGCATCCGTTCTGGTGGTCAGGATCGCTTGGGGTTCAATTTGACAGTCTCCTCGTACTTCCATGTGATTGAATATGTGGAGGAGGAGGGTGAGTGCATAGGTGTAGTGATCTACTCATCTGAACTGTAGCATGGATCATTAAGGAATCTAAATGGAGCCAAGGTATTGTGCTACATTCAAAATCAAGAAGTGTGTTTCTTAATGGTTGTCTGCACATTTTGAAGTACTCACTGATGCTTGCTATGAATATGGAGGGAAAAACATGGAGGAAAATTCGTAAGCCACGTGGTGCTGACCCCTCCATCCATCAAGCTACACATTGTTTTGTAACAACTACACATTGTTTTGTAGGAAGGAGGCACGCACATGCAGGTTTTTTTTTGAACTTGTAGGTTGAGAGGGATTAACATAGGCTTCTTGAACCTAGTGATATACAATCACCGGACAATACAGGACACTACCGGACACGCACATAGGCTTCTTGAACCCAGTGAAAGGGCTTGCTTTCCCAGCAAGACAAATCCTCCATACTTCTAGCCTACAACTGCAAGTAAGTGTGTTGCAAATGCCTAATTTTCTACTCCATTACATATTTTAAAGTTGAGCCTAATTGGCAATGGGGCATTGTGAATGCAGCAACCATTATGTCCTTCTTGACATCAACCTAGAGAAATGCACTCTCACCATTTTTGACTCTCAAAGGAGCCCATGAGAGAATATCCAACCGTTCATTGACATGTTGAACAAGTGAGACAAGCTACTACTCCTACATTGCCAACGATAGGATTATTTGTTAGTTAACTTTGATCATCCTATGTCACTGTCATGAACTTATCACATAGGTCCTTCGACAAGTATAGGAAAAAGAGCAAGAAATATCAACCATATTGGAATTTTGGGTTCACTGTACTCGAGTCCGATTCGATCGCAACACAGTCAATGGGCAATGATCAATGCGGGTTGCAAGAAGAGCTTGCCGGTTTCATTATGGACCAAGTCCTGAGTCAGGATGGAGAGCACCACCTTATCTAATCAAGGTGCTAATATTCTTCACCATGTAATGCCGGTTTCATTATGGATGATCTTATGTTTGTTTGTGTTCTAAAAACTATGTTGTTGTGGTTGGACTTGTATGGATTTCTGTCTCGGTGGTGATGTATGTTTGGATACAATACATTGTCTCTATATATATATATGTTGCTGGTGATGTAAGCAACGAAGTTTCTGTATTATTATTACAATTGTATTATGAACAATGATGTACAGTGCAAATGCCGGCGGTAATGGACGAGACATTACCGTCGGAACAAACACAACGACAGTGAAGCTGCCCTCAAAACCGCCGGATGGAACTCAAACCGACTATGCTGGTACTACATCACCGTTGGATGGAATGCGGGACCGACGTTGTTGTCTCAATCATCACCGTAGTATGGTACACTCGTCCGGTGTTGATGTATCCATCGTCACAACTGGATGGTATGCCTATTCGGCGTTGATGTATACATCATTACTGCCGGATGGTATGCCCATCTGGCATTGATGTCTACATCATCACCATTGGATGGCATGCCAGACCGACATTGATGTCTCCACCATCACCGCTGGATCGTATGCCCGTCCAGCGTTGATGTCTACATCATCACCGCCGGATGGTACACTAGACCAGCATTGGTATCTCCACCATCACCGTCGGATTGAACGCCCGTTCGGCATTGATGTCTACATCATCACTGCCGGATGGTATGCCAGACCGGCATTGATGTCTCCACATCACTGCCAGATTGAACGCTGACGTGATGGTGACGATAACTATAGCACTGCCGAATTGAACACTGGTCTGATGGTGATGAACAATGCCCCCGACTGTTTGAAACCGGCGGTGATCAATAGTGACTATCACCGACTATCACCAATGGCGGCCAAAGCCATGGCTGAAGGGGGGTTTGGAACCGGCGATGATGAACTTTCTATAGTAGTGGTTATGAAGTTGTCACTAACCATACATGGGTTAGGGATATTCAAGGCACCCAACCTACTGATTTCTTCACTAAATATCTTTCACTTTGTGATCTCATATCTGAAGTGATTCTTCAACCAGAGGTGGAAAACTCACATGTTTGGCCATTCTCAAATGATGGGCAATATTCAACAAAATCCTCCTACAAAAGCCTGTTTCGTGGTACTGTAATTTTGAGCCCTTCTAATTGTATTTGGAAAACTTGGGCGCTAGGTAAATCACATTGTTTCATGTGGCTAATGGCCCATAAGAGGTGTTGGATGTCTGATTAGTTAGCACGAAGAGGGCTGCCACATCCAGCCTGTTGCCCACTTTGTGAGCAAGAGGAAGAAAATATTAATCACCTATTGACTATTGTCAACCTCTCGACCTCTGTCTTCGCACGAGAATTTTGGTTCTTCCTTCTACACGGGGCCGGCTTGCATAATATGACTCCCAATCATTTTCTTTTGGGCCTAGACTTTGTGGAGTCTTCATAATCAATGCATTTTTTATGGTGAACCTCGTAACCTAGGTAGAGCGTTTTTGCTCGCTAGTGAGGATCTTGATTACTACGGTTTCACTTGGAGTAAAGTGTCAATCATCTCCATGGCAGGTGTAGGAGAGAGATAATCTATGGAATTGTTGTTTGTATTGCTGAGCCTCATGAGCAAATTACATGGAGTACATTGCTTGGGGGCATGAAGCCTCCCTTAGATATATGGCAAGCCAAGATTATCTATAGAGTACATTGCTTGGGAGCTCGAAGCTTCCCTTAGGGATATGGCAAGCGGAGATTACATAATCCTAATTAACTGTATATGCAGAAACCCTAATATACCCTAGCATCCCCTCGCAGTCACAATGGGAGCAGGGCAGACGGTGAAACTAGAGAAGAAGCTGAAGGTTGTAAGCCGATGAGTTGACGTCATCCGGCGATCATAACGGTCGATGTGTTGTATATGCTGTGTCTGGAGATCAAGTGGGGATGCAAGATCTGGAGGCGCGGAGATGAAGTGGAGAAATCAGATCTAGAGTTGCTTCGATGGCAAGCCTCCTTGACGTGTGACTCCACCTTGGCAGACTCCAATCTCTGTTTCCCAATTATCTCCGCATCGGGTGCTGGTGGTCGGATCTATGGTCCGACACCCCGATCTAGGTGGGTAGAATAGATCTAGGACGATGCCGGACGAATCCGTGGTTCGCTCCCCGGATCCAGGTGGAGGACGAGGAGCATGAGGAGCACATCAGGCAACCAGAGGATGACACCACTGCATGGCACTGACGAGGACGAGGTCTACAATGGGAAAACACAGGAGCTGTGTTGGCGGTTGCAACGGTAGCTAGTCTCTCATGGGCTCAACGGGCTCGACAGGCATACATGCTACTTTTCTTTGTTATTTGTGATTGATTTCCCGAGGTGGGCATAGCTGGTACCTGTCAAAATACAACATTAACAGAGACCTCATTCTGGAGGCAAAGGTGTTTCTTGCCTCTGGACAATTCTTTTGGTCGCATATGATATTCTATTTCATAGTAGTGACTGTTGAAGCCTCTGATTTAATTCGAACTAAAAATTTGCCTAATAGCTAACGACCACCCATCTTAATCATACCAATATAACATCATTGTTTTATTGTGGGACTAAACCTATGTACCTAACAATTACTGTCTTTATATTGTTTATTGTGACAAATAGCAATGTTGCACGTATACTTTGTATTAGAATTTTATAGCCTAATACATTATACAAGCCTAGGGTTTGTCATATATTCTTGTTACTCAAGACGTATATGGCTATATAATAAAAAAGGATACCCCATGTGGTTGGGTGTATGGTGTTTCTCCAAGTCTTCTATCTTTAAAACTTTTGAAGAAAAGTAGTGTGTGCGTTGTTTCCCTTCGTCTTCTATGTGTCTACACTTTTGAACAAAAGTAGTGTATCATTCACACTTTTGAAGAAAAGTAATGTATCATTCACACTAGCCTCTGTAGTAACTTTGTAAGTAAATAGAATTTTTGGTATCATATATGGTTCAGTGTTTAAACCAACATTTTTCACGGCTCAACAATACACTTATATAATATAAAATTAAGTGGTTGTTTCTTGTAGTTTGAATGACAACGAAAATTTGTGAAAAGAAAATCTTACAGAGCTACGAAAGGAAATGGTACTTGTGCTCCTCGTTTACATCAAGAAGTAATCATTGCAATTTTTATTTCGTTACTTACTGAATTTGTTACTATAGATCATTCAAACACCACAAATTGAATTTCATCTCGACAGTACAACACATGCATATACTATCATAGATGAGAAATCATACCTTTTATCATGGAGGTGCTCTCTGAGTTTGTTAATGAGCTGCTGCTCATCGTCATCCAGTGGATTATCAGTTATATGTACTCCTTTGGCTATATCACTTAGAATCTTTCTCATATTAGGACTTCGAGAAACCGACACAAAAGCTGCACATGAAAACTGGCTTTTGATATTGTGATAGACTTGGTTTGCAATCGTTGTCTTACCAAGACCCCCACAACCCACAATCGACAGCACTTTCAGCCTTGAAATAGAACCCCTTGTGCTCAAGGATAAACGTTCAATGATATGCTTCTTTGGTCCATCTATGCCCACAAGCCTATCTATCTCTTCATAGATCGCTGGTAGCCGAGGATCAACAAAAGAAGTGCCAGATATGGATGCCAGCATGACAAAATTATACCTCTTGTACCTCTCGCTTGCCTCTGTTGCACGCTTCTTGAGCTCTTCAATCTCATCGGCAATCTCATGGCGTGCTTTCAGTTTCTTCAGCTTGTGAAAGAATTCCTTGAAGCTGCTGCTGTGTCGATCATGGTTAACACGGCTCATGAAGGCATCCACGCAATCTTCAATATCATAGGCTAGCTCGCGAACCTTGTTTCTCCATTCTTCCATCTGAGGGTTGAGCTTCTCTGCATCGGTGAGCATCTGGAGCGCAGCACTCATGGCGCTCAATTCATCTTTCAAGAACAGTATCTGCTTGCGCAAACCTTTGAGCTTGACATATTCTTCTTCTAGAAGCTTGGAGAGCTTGGACAGCAGAGGTAGCATCACCCCTTTGGAAGCGTCCACAAGCAGGTCTGCCATTGCTCGCTTGTGTCTGAACTCTGCTTGCTATATGGAATTTGGGCATTTGTCAGCTTGAGAAGTTATAATGTGAGGAAAGCTAGAATTTGAGGATTTTTTTTGTTGTGTTCGTACGCGCAGAATCAGTTTTACAAAAAGGAAACTTGACTTGTGCTAGAAGACTGGAATATTTAGATGCTCCACTGTTTCAATTCTTTAAAGCGTCCCTTGCTTGCTGCCCGGCTCGTGGAAATTCCAACTTTGACGACTGGTCAAACATTTAACGTGAAAAACAAGTGGGGCCTCAAAGTCTCTAGCCTCCCCGTAGTTTCCTCGAGAAAAAAACTCATAAAGGCGCACTAGCAACAAGATGCTCCATACAGAAAAGATACTTGAAATCGCATCATTTTGCTCCTAGTGTTCACTACAGTTATGAGGTAGCTTTTTTTATGCATCGTGAAATCTTCTTCATTCTATTGGCTGTTAAGAATTTCTAACGACTGTATTCACTATGCCAAAAACGATTTTAGAGGAGTTTCCCTTTTTGGGCGGAGGCGACTTTATTGAAAGTAGTCACTAAAATAGATCAAGAGACAGTCGTCTCTTGGAATCCATTTCTAGAGGCGGTTGTTGTTCCCAGTGTAATTATTAAGGTCCTATGAGCACCCGAGGGGGGTTACATTGGTTGTTTAATACAAACTTAAAAACCTAGCGCTCAATTTAATCTACCACTAGAAAAAAACATAAACTACTCTAATATGGTATATGCACTAAAGGTTTTCTAGTGTGCTCTAACTTACACTCAATCCAAAAGAATTTTGCAACGTATTAACTAGCCTGTAGCTAATTTAGGAAAGTAAAGGTCACACAAGCAAATCACAGGTAAAAGCAACAAACGTGGTAAGTAAAAGAGCTCACGAAAGAGAAGGCAAACTCTAGAAGACATACCAATGCATCCCATGGCATAGGCTCCCTAATCGCAACCCCTAATCTACGTTGGTGCTCCATCAAGGTTTTGTATCGATCACAATGTTCGATTTGCCACACAGGCATCCACCAATCAAAGGCTAGTTGTGTGAGTCATCATGTCTCACCACCACCACCACCAAGCCCTTCTGGTCAACTTGATGCCTTGTACACTATGAAGCTTCTCCACAAGAGGGAGGAGGTCCCCTCGTCCCTCAGACAGTGATACGACACCACTTGATACCGAGGACAGAGGATTGCCACTTGGAAGGCCATCATGACTTCACCGGGAGGTCACAATCTCAAGTGTTCCTGATCACTAAGATTAAAGGGTGCGGCAGCACAATTTCTCTAAGCTTTCAATCTCTAAGGCCTAAACCTCATAGTATGCACTATAGTGTCTATCCTAGCTTTGGATGTGATCTAAAATGACTTGAGCGGCTCAATGGATTGTAGCAACACTTGCTCTAACTTATCGTAGCCTTGGGATTACTCCAACACGCTCAAGCAAGTGAGGCAAGCCCATACATACGGCCCCATCCCCATTCAAACATGTTGGAAAAGTTTGCTAGTTTTGCGGCACACTGCAGATGACCCGTTGAGTGGTGCTGGATACTTAACTGTATCATCTGGTTGATTCTTCACTCATCTGCTTCTATTTCCAAACTTGTTAACCGTATCATCTAGCAAGTAATCCCACCATTGGTCCTGACCATTGCAATGGTAATGATCTACACCGGATGACCCGCTGAGTTTCTCCTATGTAAAATCATCTGATGGCACTGATCATTGAGGTCTTCAATTGTGGCAACTCTGATGATCACCGGGTGATTTGTCGGGCGATTATTCTCTTCATCGTATCATCTGGAGGGCACTATCATCTCCAACTGACTTGCTGGACACAACCATATGATCTAGTGGGTTTGATCAACTAATCTAGTGAATGCTTCAGTGAGGAATCTTCAGGGAATCTCTATTGTTTCTTCTCTATTTCAACATAGATCTTGATCAAACTTTAACCTTTTAACCATAAGATCTATTATAACCTATCTAACATAGGTTTAGCATACATGTTAGTCCTAGGTTTATGTTGTCATCTCAATCACCAAAATTAAAATATATGATCATGGACATATGATCCTTACAATCTCTCCCTTTTCGGTGATTGATGGAAATTAACACAAGCATTGTAAGTATAAAAATGCATTGCATTTGAACAAATGAAGTACATATGAAGTTGGCTCACCAAAAGCTTGCTTGGATGTCACACCAATCGTCCAATTTGTCCAAAGCATTGCCCAACTTGATACCAAATATGATCATAAGTATCATATTCGATCTATTTGAGCAGTTGGAATTTTTGGACTTGATTGTGCTCTCGTTCAATTTTCAATTCTTACCCATTTTCAAATATAATCTATTGTGCCTTGGTTTGCATACATTGTCTCCCTTTTGTCACGTAACCAATAAAAAGGCATATATATAGAGAAATTTTAGTAGTAAAGGTATTCATTTTAGGAAGTATATTACCATTGATCCACATAGGAGCACATGACATAGGGGGTGCTTCTAATTGAATTTCAACATCCCCACTTTGCCATTTGTTCTGATAGTTTGATCATGATGCTGATCTTAGCCTTCTCCCCCATGGCCTTATTATCTCCACCTAAGGAGACAACACAACATGTTAGTCCAAAAAACCACAGCTATAGAACCAGCACTCCTAAATGTGTGCAAGAAGCGATTGAATCACTAAGGTGATATCAATTTGAAATATTGATACCAATTGACAACCTTGCACATTGGTTATGAAATAAATTAGAGAGCAAGTCCTATAGCTTGGGGAAAGTGTAGAAAATTTCAACACACAAAGCAATCCTACACAAGGTAAATTCTAAATGATGCTAGAAAGATACCAATTGAAAGCCACTAGGTTAAGCACACAATACAATATCATGGGGTTGGGGAACTTTCATGTTGGATTGGAGGTGGAGGTCATACCCTTGGGCCAGGCCTCGGGTAAGACTTTGTCTAGGAAACGGTCGAGGATGAGAGGCGGTACGGTTACTTGAATGCAAATGCTTTCATCATCCGGTTCCTTTGGGGTCTATTTATAGGGCATCCGAACAGTGTGCCAGGTTGCTATTACAAGAATGGCCCTTGTCGATGCGCACTGGCGGTGGGCACAGAAATAGGGGCATTTTGGTACATATGACGGGAATACCCCGATCCCTATGGAATATGATCCCAGACTGGCGGGCACCTGGCCCATATATTTTCGATAGGTCGGTCGAGGCGAAGCTTCGCTGGCCGCCCCTCGGCTGCCGTGAGGTGCTCCTCCGGCATTGGACCCTTGTTGTAGTAAAGCTCCACCTTGCCTCCCCTTGGGCGTTACCTGCATAGAAACTCTGGAACGAGGGTATTAGAGCGATGGGAATAAGGTAGGGGTGGTGCCTGAAGGTCCGTCCCCAACATTAATTTGCTACATGATCCATACTAACCCACTTGGCATTTTCTTTATTCAATATGATGTGCCCCTATTGTACTTTCCTTGTATGCCAGGTCTACAAATTCCCCGTAATGCCACAAATTGTCCTCACCCCTTGGGACCCAAACCTTTAGAGGCACATCCATATTCTTAATCACCACCTTGGGCACCGAAATTGGCTTGTTTGATCCTCAACTCTGTTGGCAACCACCTTGTCATTTCTTCATAGGACCTTCCGATCAACTCATTTCAATAGAGCTTTTAGCTACTTTGCTCACTAGATGGTCTCTACATTTGTATGGCATTCTCATTTTCTATTCCAGAGATGCAAACTTTCTCATTTCCTGTTCCAGAGATGTAGACTGTCTAGTGCTCTATGTTTTCTCTTAGTGCTGCTGGGCGAGCTGACAGGCGTGGAAGCTCACTCACCAGCACTGATGGTGGACAACCAGCCCGCCATTGCCCTCGTGAAGAATCCGGTACTGCACGACCGGAGTAAACACATCGACGTGAAGTTCCACTTCCTCAGGGACTGTGTTGATGGAGGGCAGATCGTCATCGACTTCGTCGAAACTGGTTGGCAACTCGCGGACGTCCTCACCAAGCCGCTCGGACGTCTTCGACTCATGGAGCTGAAGGAGATGATCGGCATGGAGGGGGTACAAGGGTTAGCAATAGGATTAGGGGAAGATTGTTATATAATCCACTGCTACCTTGTGTGAACACAGCAAGGGAAGGCGGCGCCGAAAAGGCCCCCTGCTGTGATACTGTAGCCGCTGCAGGTGCGGGCGCCGCAAGGCTCACCTGCAGTACTATAGGCACATGCAGTGGCCGGCGCAGAGTCAGCCCTATATGTTATCTAGTCACTGTTGCAGCAGGGCAGCTGTACTGGGACTAGAAGGTTAGAGTTGTATAAATAGGCTACCACGGCAACTTAGTAAAGAGAGTTCAGATTTGCCATCTCTCAGACAGGGCTTCGGCCAACGCTGGTGCCTTGTATTGTGTGTGTATGCTCTGTTCTCCCTTCTTCTTCAAGCTCTAGCCTTAGTGTGTGGGGACGGACAACGCTCGGTTGTGCTCGGCACGGCTAGTGGGTGCTCGGCAACACTAGCGGGTGCTCGGCAAGACCAGTGAGTGGGCAACTCACCTGAGCCGGTGATCTTGTGGGCCAACAAGTAGGAAATAAAAAAGTGTTCAACATTACTGACCAATACGAAATCATAAAGGCCATCCATGAGAAGGAAAAAACTCCATTGCTCTGATTTCTAGAAGTTGGGACGCCGAAATTAACGAATCCTTATGGTCATCAGTGCGCTGCAACGGGGCCCAAAAATGAAGCCGGAGTGTACCCCTAAAGAGAACCTACAAAAAAAGGTTTTTGTTTGGCATTATTAAACACAAAATTATTCCTACTAAGCCAAATTGCCTAGCAAACTGCTACAGATCCTGTCAATAACAAAGATCTAAGATGTTGACCACCTTGCTTAGACCAAGAATTAAAGCGATGGTTTATATTCTGTGGAGGTTTGATGCCTAATAAAAAGTACACAACACGGAGGTTTGATGC